GACGAAATCTATATTATCCATTTCTCTACGAGAGTTTGTCATTTTATTTGAAAATTAGCGTGTGATCATAAAGATTTTAAATACAATATATTATATTTGGATTTTGATAAACACCTAAAATCATATTTCATTTTCACTTTTTAAAAAACAACCCCCATTGAAATTATATTTCATATTTTTTTAAAAATACATTCAAATTTTAAATACTTGTTACCAAATGTATGAAAAAACACAATTTCAATATTAACTTTTGAACTTTAATTCGATTTAAGTTGTTGCAATATTTCCTATCAAACAGCGCATCTGGTGTAGTGGTATCATAGTACCCTCCCACGGTACTGACCGGGGTTCGATTCCCCGGATGCGCATTTTTTTTTCTAGTTTTATTTACGGTGTGTTCGGTATGGATAATAAAAAAATTTAGAAATTTTTTTTTTGAAAAAATAAGTTACTTAAAATGAGAAAAATTCTAGTTTTATTTACGGTGTGTTCGGTATGGATAATAAAAAAATTTAGAAAAATCTTTTTTGAAAAAATAAGTTACTTAAAATGAGAAAAATAACTTTCATATTGAAAATATGAAATCCATTTTTTGATTTATTTCATCTATTCCATGACCGGAACAGGGGAGGATAGCGAGCTACACCGGTCCTCCGGAGGGGAAGTCGAAACCCGTGTTCAAGTAAAGGAATAAGATCCACAAATGACCATTTTATATTGATTGTATCCTATCTGCTTTCATCTTCGTCCCACCCCTAACCCTACCATCTCACACCCCAAATAATAGCAATTACATACCTAATGTATTCTCATAAATGAGGCTATGTAAAGGATATAATATACATAAATGTCACTCTTTACTTTTTATAGAATGAAAATATTGTTTTATTAAACAACCACAACAAATCAGTATAATCTTACAAGTAGTGTTTAAAAAGAGTAAAATGTACACAACTTTATTTCTATCTTTATCTGTATAAAGTGAATTTACTTTTGTATTCTATCAATTTATGATAATTAGTTATGTAAAACTATTTTTCTACATTATAAATTTTGCGTATACTCTAAACTAACTAAACTGGTTTGGCCAAAATAAGGTGACTAAATTGTTACAAAATGAATATTGAACGAACCTAAGCAAAATATCAAATGACTATAGTCGATAAGATTCACTGATCACAAGAAGAATTCAATAAAAGAGAACGTCTTACGATATAACAAACACTCCAATCACAAGGATAAGTAAAAAGTGTTGCACCACAAAGCAAACAAATTACAAAAATAAGATTACAATGGCCTATATTTTATTAAACCTACTAGTAATACATAGACCATACTTTGCTCCTCAGCCTACGAGATATTAGCAGCCGTTTCCAGCTATTGTTCCTAAATCTTACTATTTAGTCAACTCAAGTGACTTAGCCCAAGCTGGCCTAGCCAAGATATCAGCAACCCAAGCACTAACATGAGGCCTAGCATTGAACAAGCTCTTCACTTTAGTCCCAATCAAGTAGTGCAAAACCGGGGCGTGGTGCAAATCAGCTAGGGTAAAACTATCACCACTCAAATATTTCGAATTCTTGAGTCTAGATTCATAAACGTCGAGAAGTTTGCTAAGTTTTTCTTCGTTCTCCGCCACGATTGCATCATCAGTTACCATGCCCAACATTGGCTTGATGACAATCTCATAGCTTAGTTTTGAACCAACAGGTTCAAATTTTTGGGCTTCAACTTCAATCCATACATACATGATTGCCATTTTCTTTGGGTCATTTGGTAATAGTTGGTTCCCTTTGTCAGCATATGTGTGAGCTATGTATTGTGTAATAGCTCTTGACTCTGCATTCACAATAATTCACAAATATGAGATATTATCTATGAAAGTTGAGTGACTTTCTGAGAGAAAAATGACCATATGAGATATTATCTACGAAAACAACTTGTCTACCCCTACATACATCACACCCTCTCTAGACCTCACTTGTGAAATTATATTCGATATATATGTTATTGACACGAATTCAAATTAGACGAATTAGTTTGAGACAAACATAGTATATAACCAATTATTCAACTAAATCAAAGGTGAACCTAGTATACATGTTATGTGTTCAATTGAACTAGTGAGTTTTACTTGGATCATGTAAATCAAATGAGTTCATATGGTATAATTTTGAACTTGAACTTATAAAGTTCGAATTCTGAATACTCTTTTCTAAATTCAGTACTTTTAACACGTGAACATATATATGTAAGATCATAAATATTAAATTATGAACGCGTAAAAGAAAGTTAACTTACCAAAAAGCTTGAGATCTCCATCTTCAAAAGCAGGAACTTGACCAAATGGCTGAATTAACAATCAAAAGACAATTATAAGTATATACTCTTTAATTTAAAATTTGATTAATGAGCAAGAATAAGGCTATCAACATTCATTTAAACAGAAAGTCTATCGAAAATAACATCTCTACACCAAATTAAAGGTAAATATCCTCACCACCCCACTCGTGGAATCACACTAAATATATGTTATTATTGTTTATCTAAAGTCCCAATTAATACGAATTCACCCAATTAATATAAAAAATGAATCCATCGGTTACCAATTCATTTGAATCCAATATTTTCGATACAAAATATACGTGGTGTATATTTTTCTTCTATATACATGATGCAATTTTTTGACGAAGAGGATCTATTCAAGACATGTATATATAAAATAATAAATCAAATCTATTCGAAACCAACAACTGTTAGAGAAAAGGGGAAAATGAAAAAACAATGTTATGATACGATAGAATATTTTACTGAATATGCTATCGTTGTATTTACATACATTTAGGGAAATGAATGGTTCCCTCTTGTGATCACCATTTTGCAAATCAACATGAATAAGTTCAAAATCAAGATTTTTCTCTTTGAGTGTAGCTACAACTCTCACAACAGCAGGTGACAACATAGGGCCATGAACCTTGATAGCCATTATTACTACTAAAAAATGAAATTTGTATGACAAAAAAATGTTGAGTGATGAGTTGAAAGCATGTGTTGGGTGTAGTATATATAATAGACCAATAATTAATGTTATTTGCACTTTTTAGGAGTAAGTAAAAAAAAAAAGAAATTTCTAGAATATTATATTATTATGAAGAATATTACGTATGGGCCTACATCACATAATGATGTAATAAACTATGTCCAAATATATATAATAATAATAATAATAATAATAATAATATAAAGCTGAATTAAATTTGTAATAAATGATTTTTGTATTTAAGTATTAAATTATTAAGAGAAATTTTCAATAATTTATATATTTAGAAATTAGCATAAGTATTATTAATAAAAATAATTAACAATTAAAATATTTTAAGAAATCATATAAAAAATTTGCGGTCAAATAAAAATTTGATTTTAACTCCCAAAATTCATTTATGCTACATAAATTAGAACATAGGAAGTAAAGACATTTTCAATAGTTAAAGAGGCATTTGAATAATATTGTATATTTATAAATTACATTAAAAGTATTATAATTACAATAGTTAACAACTTAAATTACTTTAAAAAATTGCATAGAAAAAAATTGATCAATTCTTGAAATCTATTTGTGATACATAAATTAGAACAAATAAATAATACATATTGAATTTTTTGCCCTTGTTCGAATGATCAAGAATTTGAAAACCATTGTTTTTTCCCGAAAAACAAGTAACTTAAAAATGAGAAAAAGTCTTTCATATTAAGAACATGAAAAGTAAATTCCACTAATGATGTTTCATATTAGTTATATCATCTCCATTCTTCAACACACTCCATCCACGCCCCACCATCTCACACCTCCAACAATAACAATAACATACGTAGTATATTCTCACAAATGTGGCTATATGAAGAATATAATGTGTGTAAATCTTACCCTTATTTTTTAGGGAATAGTAACACTATTTTCAATAGATCCTCAACTAAAAATAAAAGTATTAATAATAAGGCTAATTAGTACTTTCTTGTATAAATCAATATGACTCACATTCTTTTTTAATCTGTTTGGATAAAATGACACTTTTTTTTTATATTTAGTATAATTTAATTTTAAAGTGATCATTTTTATTTTGATGAAACAATTTATAGTTACAAATATTTATTATTTATTTTAAATCACAAATTTTATAAATCTTTCTTTCTTTCTCAAAATTCATGTTAAATCAAATTACATAACTAAAACCAAGAAAGTAACAAACAAAGTTGAAAAGAGAAAAAGAGCAAGCTGACTAAAAAGGGTTGATGTCACTTAACTGAGTGGTGGGTGCAATATTGATAGGGGCCACCGCAATGTATTGGTTCTTTTGTTTAAGAATTTTTTATTTTGTCACAATTATAATTGAATGAACATTGACATAATGATTCAGATTTAATAAAGGGCTCCAATATGGGCTCTGGACACTGAGTGAAAAATTTATAGATTGAGAGTTCGGTAAAAGCTAATATGTCACAATTTTACTCGAATTTTTATAAGGTAAAAGACACTATTTTCGATTGATAATTCACAATCTCTTTTTTTATTTAGACTTAGATCAGACAATGTGAAACTCAAAAAAAAAAAGAAAAAAAAAAAAGAGTACCTTAAATTCACATTTAAATAATATTTGGAAATTATTTTTTCATAAAGAATTATATGTGGGCATTAAAGTTTGAGCACGTGGCGTTGAGTGTGATTGATTGTTGCAATGTCCAAACTTAATAATAGTGGTCACTTTTAAAAAGTTGGCCTTATAGCCATTTAAAATAATATCCCAAAACTATTGCATTTGAGTTTAATTTAATTTGTTGCATTTTGAAAATGACATTCGAAATGATGCTTCAATTGCGTTATAAGTAGAAGGAGCTGGTACAAAATCTTCTTATATAAGGCTCGAAAAATTAATCTAAGATCGCTATAGAAAGGAAAATCGAAGTCACAAAATGAACCTACTACAAGAGATTCATTGTCACAATTTCAAAAGAGTATTAAGTCGATACAATTCACACACACGAAGAATTCAATAAGAGAGAACGTCTTACGATACAAGAAAGATAGGAAGAAAAAAAAGAGTGCACCACAAAGCAAAAAATTACAAAAGTGTTACTTATGGCCTAAATTTATTAACCTACTAGTAATACATAGGCCATATTTTGCTCCTCAGCCTACGAGGTATTAGCAGCCGTTTCCAACTGTTGTTGCCCCTTCCTTCCAATGCGTTACTCACCCATCCGCCACAAATCTTACTGTTTTGACAACTCAAGTGTCTTACACCAAGCTGGCCTAGCCAAAATATCAGCACACCAAGCACTAACATGAGGCCTAGCATCGAACAAGCTCTTCACTTTACTCCCCATCAAGTAGTGCAAAGACGGGGCGTGGTGCAAATCAGCTAGGGTAAAACTCTCACCACCCAAATATTTCGATTCCTTGAGTCTAGATTCATACACATCAAGAAGTTTCCCGAGTTTCTCTTCGTTCTCTGCCACGACTGCATCATCAGTCACCATGCCCAACATTGGCTTAATCACAATCTCAAAGCCTAGTTTTGAACCAATGGGGTCGAATTTCTGGGCTTCTACTTCCATCCATACTGACATGATTGCCATTTTTTTTGGGTCATTGGGTAAGAGTTGGGTCCCTTTGTCTGCATATGTGTGAGCTATGTATTGTGTAATGGCTCTTGACTCTGCATTCACAATAATTCATATATCAAAACCAAAGAAAGAAGTGTGTTTCAAGTGAATTCAATATTAATTATGTGATGATTTTCATTGAATTGGGGAAAGATTTCATGGTACTTATATGCCAAGCATCTATCGGAAACAACCTCTCTATCTTCAAATCAACAAAAATCAACAAGGTAGAAGGTCAAGTTAAATTTTGAACCACTCAACGACTAAGTCAACCACTAATCTTACATTCAGGAGGTTCAAATCAATATACACACATAAAATAATTAAAAAATATCCCATATATATAATGTAATTTTTTGCCAAACGACTACCTCTTAGCCATTCCTGATCCTAAAAGGATATGTCCGGTCTTCTATTGTTCTTCATTTAAATACTAGACATAGTTCACTTGGCGTAGGGATCGAACTTGTGAGTTAAAGACACATGTCCCTCAACCTTTAGGCATAGATTAAGGGGGAACTTACCAAAAAGCTTGAGATCTCCATCTTCAAAAGCTGGAACTTGACCAAATGGCTGCATAAATCAAACAAAATTATAAGTAGATACCCTTTTTCTTGACTCAAATCATACAATTACAATTACAATTTCTCGACTCGAATCATATAATATATATATGGAGAACAGAGCCGGAGCCAGTATTAGGAGTTTGGGATTCTAAATTTCCTTCCCCTTACTTACAATTGAGTTGTCAACAGTTTTGTTAGGAGTTCACAAGTTAATGTACATATATATTTACTTAATTTTCTAGTACAAGTAGAAGGTCTACAGAAAGTCCGAACCCACGAACCCTCACCTAGAACAGAGCTGGAGCCCGTATTGGGGGGTTCTATTCCTTTCTCCTTCCATACCATTGAGTTGTCAATCAATTTTATTAGAAATTTACAGGTTAATATACACACACACACACACACACATATATATATACTTAATTTTCTAGTACAAGTAGAAGGTCTACAGAGAAACTACTGGATTCGTCTAAACCCTCACCTAGAACAGAGCCGGAGCCAGTATTGGGGATTCTAAATTTCCTTCCCTTCCTTACCATTGAGCTGTCAAACAGTTTTGTTAACACAACTATAGATTTACCGTAAATTATAACATTCAAATCTGTGACCTAATAATAAATCGAATCGATTCGAAAACACAGTAACTGTAAATTAAAAAAAAGCAGAGGAAAGGAAAAGAGTTATAATACTATGGAAAATTGACATACATTTAGGGAAATGAATGGCTCCTTTTTGTGATCACCACTTTGCATATTGACAGGAACAAGTTCAAAATCAAGATCTTTCTCTTTGAGTGTAGCTACAACTCTCATAACAGCAGGGGACATCATAGGGCCATGGACCTTGATCACCATTTTTTTCTAGTTCTAGAGAGAGAAAGTGAAGAAATTGTGAGTAGAAAATGAATTTGTTGTGTGAGAAGAGAAAACGTGGAATGATGAGTAGAAAACATGTGGTGGAGTACAGTATATATAGATCCAATAACTAAGGGTCCTTTTGGTCAACAAAATTATGAATATTACATTTATTTTTATTTTATTTTATTTTTAACTTTCTATTCGGTGTTTGCTACTCGTAAATTAGAGCTTGATTATTTTGAATTTGTACTGATTCAAATTTGAAATATCTGGTTAAAAAAGGCATAGCCTCATCTACTGCATTACCTACGTTGATGGTTAAAAAGAATTCATCTTATTTTTAATGTGAAAAAAATATTTGAAAATTGGAGTTGTGTTTCGAAATAAATATAATTGGAATTATTTTAAATTTTTGCCTACTTCCTTCTAGATGACCTAATGGAAAGAAGTGGTAGGCGGAACATTATTTGTCCAACATGTGTGGTGATATAGTTGAAAGTTCTTCTTACATTTATTGAAAGTAGTATTGTATTATGTTTTTAAATTTTTTCATTTGATGTTTGTATTGGAGCTCGACTATTTCAGATTCACACCGTATAAGACCTTATTCGAGGGAAATATATTTCCTATCAAAAAAAATTTATATCCAAAATTCTAACTTGAAACTTCTAATTAAGAGAGGAGCAACTCTATCTGTTGATGGTGGCAAATTGTTATATTTAAACTTTGAAATTATTATTTATTTTTTATAGAAATTGAAGTCGATATGATTATTCAATATTCGAATTTACTAACTTGATGGAATTTATTTATTTATTTCATTATACTCCTTAGTTAAGCCAGTGTAAATTTAAAAAAAAGAAAAAGAAAAAAGCCAGTGTAAATATAAATAATATTTTCTCTTTTAAAAAAAAAATGAAAAAAGAGAAGTTGTGTTCAATTTGCAAAGACTTTTCAAGTGTTTCACACTTATTATTATTGTTACGAAATAAATATAATTGGAATTATTTTAAATTTTTGCCTACTTCCTTCTAGATGACCTAATGGAAAGAAGTGGTAGGTGGAACATTAATTGTCCAACATGTGTGGTGATATAGTTGAAAGTTCTTCTTACATTTATTGAAAGTAGTATTGTATTATGTTTTTAAATTTTTTCATTTGATGTTTGTATTGGAGCTCGACTATTTCAGATTCACATCGTATAAGACCTTATTCGAGGGAAATATATTTCCTATCAAAGAATTTTTATATCCAAAATTCTAACTTGAAACTTCTAATTAAGAGAGAAGCAACTCTATCTGTTGATGGTGGCAAAATGTTATATTTGAACTCTGAAATTATTATATTTATTTTTTATAGAAATTGAAGTCGATATGATTATTCAATATTTATTCGAATTTACTAACTTGATGGAATTTATTTATTTCATTATACTCCTTAGTTAAGTCAGTGTAAATATAAATAATATTTTCTCTTTTTAAAAAAAATGAAAAAAGAGAAGTTGGGTTCAATTTGCAAAGACTTTTCAAGTGTTTCACACTTATTATTAATTAAAATAAAATAAAATAAAACTTTGTTTACAAAGTCAATAATTTTGCGTTCACATTATCTTATTTTAGGAGTAAGTGGTCGGTAGGGCCAGAAACTTCCAGAATATGTATGGGTATACATCACACAAAGATGTCATCCACTACGTCCAAATAATATATAAAAATAATAAATAAAAAAAAGAAGAAAAAAAGAGAGTATATTGTTGTATAACACGTTGGATTTAAGAAAGGATCGGATTAAAGGAGGGACGTAAACGATCTCTCTTAATATAATGCAAGTATAAATAGTTGATTCTATGATTCGAACTCATGATCAGATAAGAAAGAGTTGCTCGGATGATAAGCATCTCTTACTTCCAAGTTTCAACCTTAAGATTGTGAGTTTGAGCCACCAAAAAAGTAAAAATACAAGCTTTTGAGGAGGGGTAAAAAAAACCTCACGATCACATGAAAAATCATAAATTTATACTTACTTTAACAACAAAATAACCTAATATAATTAAATAAATTATACTATAAAATTCTTTGCATTAGCTCCTTAAGATAGTCAAAGCCAACCAATCTATCATTTCATATAAATAATACGTATTTGTATAATATGTTATACATACTTTAAATTCGCTTAATTTAAATTCGAAATTCACTTTTAACGACGGGTTGATGGAATAAATCATAACAAGGAGAAAAGGAGGGATAAATTTGGAATATTAAAAGGGCATACCATCATTAAGCAGGAATGATCAACATGAATTTCATTAATGAGTATCAAAATATAAAAAAATAAATTTATGAAAAAATCAAATAATATCAATACGCAATATATATATACATAAGAAAATATTTTTATCTAACTACATAATGTAATTTTCAACGAAAAAACTATATATAGCTATGCCATGATATTCGAGTCTCTTAATGTAAAAATGAAATTATGAAAAATAAAATTTTATTAATCTGTGAATTTAAATTAAATTTAACTTTAATGAAGATACCTATGATTAAAAGTCAAATAAATAAAAAAGTAAGAATGGTAGTTGGAACATGCGGCAAGCGGATATATACAAATTATTGTTCAATCTTGACTTTACTTTTGGGTTTCTTATTGAAGAATCCATATTTTACATTTTCTTCTTCTTTAAGCATATGATAGTAGGAAAAAATAAATAAATGAAGACAAGTAAAATTTATTTGAGGGTTTGAGTCACACTAAATAGAAAAAAAACAAAGTTGAAAAAAGAATTTTGAAATCACTAATTTTTGTTTTTATTAAAATATTTTGAGTTTGAATTCTGAAAATAGACTATGGTTTTCTTCACCCAGTAGCCACGTTAGTGGATAGAAGTCGTACAAATTGCATTCACTTTCCCCTCAAACTTTAATATGAGTAGCCTCTTTAATATTAAGAATTGATTAGTTTGTGGATTATATTATTTTGAAATTATAATTTTTAAATTAATTTATTTTATTTGGATGGTGGAATAAGATAATTTTCAATTTGATTAAATAAATTGGAATATTCAGAATTAAGTTTGAAACTAAATTTATATTATATTTAATTGACAGTATAAATTTAATCATAAGTTTAATATAAAGATATTCTACCTATTAGGCATACCAAATATTGCAATACAATTAAAAAAAGGTACCATAAAAAATTGCAATGAGGTCAAGCGAATGAGTGCTTCACCCTCAACCAGAGGTCTCGGGTTCGAGTTCTGGGTATGGAGAAAATCATGTTGAGAGCGTCATATCCGAAAGGGCACTGCAGTGCGCGATTCAAATTAAGTCGGGGCTCTAATATGGACTCTGGACACCAGGTGGGAAACCAAAAAAAAAAAGAAAAAAGAATTCCAATGTGCAATATGAAGGTATACACTTCATTTAGATGGTGGTTACATATACTTTTATAACATATTTTATCGTATTGTATTGCTTTACAATATTTGGATAAATTATGTCATTTTCTATCTTTACATAATATCAATAATTTGAAAAATAAATTTAAAAAAAAAGAAGGTATAGGGTATAACTACTATAAAAAAGGTAGGATAAAAGAAGAAAATATAATTATTAAATAATAATTAAAATCAAAATGAGGAGAAATAGGTAATTATGTGTTCACACCAAATCGTTCGTTACACAAAATGTACTCAATTATATATTGGTTTTCTAAAATGACAACTACTCATCCGTTCACTTTTACATGTCAACTTTGGACTTTGCACAGCCTTGGTAAATAATGATTAATATGAGTATTATCATATTAATTGATGTATAGTCTTAGGTCTTGAAAATATTTTGAAGAATAAATAATTAATATTAAAGATAAAAAAGAAAAAAATAAATGGAAAAAAGTATCTTGGACCATTTATTTTTAGTAAGGACGACAAACGGTCCAGAGGGAATATATGTTAATATCCCTTTTGTGGAAATAGGATGAGACATATTGGTCTTGGGCATGACAATGTGTTTGATGGGTCAAAAGCTTATATGTCCAGTCCCCATACCAATTTATATTTGGGCCTACACACTAATGGGCCATTAAATAAGAAGAAAAACAGTGGGCCTGTCCTATTTCATAGGATAACCTATTTGGATACCGCTATTTTATTTGTATTGAGGCGCAGGTCTCATTGTCCCTTTGGATGTGACACAGCTCAGCTGGTTGCCACTTGGCAACTTACCTTTATATTATTCAAACGTACGTGTTTTTTAACTTGCTTTAATTGATATCTATGTCTTTCAATTTTCAGTATGCATAAAAAGACACTTATAACTTGTATAAAGCTAAACAAGTAGGATACATTTATGTATTATGACTATTCAAATATAGTGTAATCTCAAAGAGTGGGAGAGAGGTGAATTGTATATGTATATAGGTTAGATAATTGTATATTATACATATGCATTTGTATATATGGCAAGCGAGATTGGGAGAGGGAAAAGAGAGGCGAGCGAGATTGGGAGAGGAAGGAGAGAGGAGGGCGAGAGAGGGCGTATTGGAGTCGGGTGAATGAATTGGAGAGTCGCATTCATGATCTTATGCAACAAGAATATGCCATCAAGACTAATGTGTGTTTTATAGAGTGTTTTGTTAGATCAGCTGTGTTGTATGTGGTGAAGTATTGATCGATCAGAGCGCACATGTCCAAAAGATGAAAGTAACAAAAATGAAGACGTCAAGATGGATATGTGAGTATAGTAAGAGAGATATAATTAGGAATAGAGACACACTACAACAAATGTGATATTTCGCTACGAAATTATTAGGTACGATACAAAATTCGTCACTACTTATTAACCTTTTATGACGAAAATTACATTTTGTATTTAAATGCATGAGCAACATACTATTTGTGATGAAACACACAATTTCGTAGCAAAATTTTATCCACTAAAGTTTCCCACCAAAAAATAATTTGGCGCCATTTATTAAGTACCATTAGTGACGAATTTTAAGTTATCAGTGACACATTATTTTATTGCTAATAATGTATACAATTTGTGACAAACTATTATTTGTCATAAAATTAGTTACAATTTTGAGTACGAAAAAATTTCGTCACAAAAATATGTTTTTGCAATAGCGACAAAATAGTATTCGTAGTTAAATATAGTTATCTTTAGCCACAAATTTTTATATTTAATTGTGACTTTAGTTTTTGTCATTAATAATAAAAGCAAATAGTGACGATGATTTTAGTGTCTCTAGTTAACTTGCGACTTAGTGACAACATAGTTTTGTCACAAAATATACAATGTTTAAATAGCGACAATTTAAAATTTATAGCTGAATAATTTAATTATTTGCTATGAATTTATTTTTATAGGTGAATATACAATAAACTTGGCTACACTTGTTTACGATTACAAGTGACAACTCACAAATAATTTTTTCAAGTACTTCCTATAGGAAATAACAAATTGAAACCATAGAATAATATCACAACGACGAACTATATCTTATGAAAAGGCAACTGACGATGCAAGCATAAATCCTATTGTGAATTAGGGTCGTGATATCACATAGAATAATTATATATAGATAAAGTCTTTTTACTAATTTAAATTTTTTATTTTTTTTAAAAGTGTTTTAATTGAGTATGTAACTCATTTGATCAAATTAAAGTCACTTGCAACTTAATTATGACTATTACTCCATTAATACAAATAATTATTTTACTTTGTTAAATCCAAAGGCTTAAATATAAAATTGATTAAACGATATATCTTAATTTTACTACAAATTATTTTTAATTCATAAATATCTTCAATTAGAAAACAATTGATTCAATTTTATTATTTATCAACAATGGTTACAATTGCAATGCAAGTCGGTTATGTTTGAAATTATTTTGTCCACAATGTAAAGAGGATTTATTAATATATTGAATTCAGTTTTGATCATTTTTACTCTTAAAGATCAGCCTTTCAACTTAGCTCTTATATGTGTTAAGTTCAAAAATGACCCAAAGATGGGTTGATCTTGATATTTTGTCTTCCCATTAGAAAAGTTTTATAAAAATAACTTTCATAACGGATGATCTTAATATATTGGCTCTACTTAACAATTTTTTTTTAAAAATAGCCTGTATTTTATAATTTTTCACTTTTGTCTATGAGGCAGACGTTCGAGATATTTTTAAATAGTGAACATGCTTAATTGACCATAACTTTTGTCTTATAGGCAAACGTTAGAACTTAGGTATGTTATCCATTATGCATAAGTTCAAACGTTTATCCATAAGATAGACATTCAGGATATTTTAAGGCAATAAACATACTCACTTGACTATAAGTTCTACATTATATGAAAAAGTTAGAACTCAGATATGTTGCCTTAGCGATTTGTTTTTTAGTATTAAGGATAAAGGTATGCCTTTCGAATTGGATAACACCGAACTTATGTTAGGGAAAAATATTATCTTAAAAGGTTTCAATAGTGAAATTAAGTCATAGTTAAGAATTATCCGGACAATAAATTATCTTTAAAATGAGCACTATAGACAAAAATTAAAGACCAACAATTGAGGGACAAAAATTAAAGATCATCCCAAAATAAGGGTTGTCCGTGAATAAACTTGAATTTTCGTACTTTGTTACAAATATTATTCATTCATACCTATTAGAGCTCATTAAATAATTATAACATTAAAATGCAATTAATGATTATAAATAACGAATAATTAAAATTAAGGTCTTCACGAATAAATAAAGGCTTAATAATATCATGTGTTTGACCTACAAATTTAGTTGTGTAGCGTTATGAAAGGAAAAATAATTATTTTTTACAAAATAAATGCGCATGAATGTCTTTTATTTTCATAATATTACGATTGAGTGTGTTTATAAAAAATGGACATGATAACACTTGTTTATTCCCACCAAAACAAGTCGGCCTCAACCCAACATAAATGAGCCCCACGAACCCGTAGGTCAAAGCTTTGACCTCTTGCAAACACAGGCACCCCTTCGCGATCGTGGAGGGTTGGCTTCAGCACACAGAACAAAAAATTCAGTCAACTAAAAAATCATCGAAAGGATCCTCATAATTTGTTTGGAACCCCGTAAACACAAAATAAATATGTGAATCAATTATACTCGACGTTTCAAACTCAATAGAACCATCAAAACACGAATCTTAGGTCTCCTTGACCCGACATCCGTGAGAAACACAAGAAACTAACTCAATGCCTAAATGCTAAAACAAGCTTGGGATCTCTCAAAAATCAGCCAAAACCTCACCTAGGCCTAAAATCATCCCCCGAGTCCAACGAAACTCTCAGAATCCCAATCCGAGCATCCGAACCTTGAATGTTGACCAAAGTCAACTCAAAGGCTAAATTTACCCCAATTTCACAACTTAGGACCTCCAAAAGACTCGAAATCTGAAACCAACAACTCTCACAGCTTAGATTCCACATTTCAGGACTGGTGGAATCGACATAATTCCATTCTAACACTCGAAACTCCAAAAGACTCCAAAGCCGCTTTCTTAACAATATAAGCATTTCAAACACAAAACATATAAGATTCTCAACTTTCAACTCAAAGTTCAAAATCAACTTTTCAAAACTCAAACATAGAAGACTTGGGGTCGATATCGGGAGTGCAAAATGGTAAATTTAACGAAAAATCCAAAAATGACCTACCGGGTTATTACATTTTGAATTTAAATAAATAATATTATTAAATTTACAATTTCTTTAAATTTTTATATAATAAAAATATAATTAGCAATTTGAATAATAAATGAATTAGTTTAATGAGTTCGTTCTATACCGGGTCATTACATTTTGAATTTAAATAAATAATATTAGTCATTTTTACAATTTCTTTACATTTTTATCTATTGAAAAGATCATTAGCAATTTGAATATTAAATGAATTATTTTAATGAGTTTGTTCTATATTTTAGATTTTCTTTGTTTAGATATTTTGTCTTTTTTCGTTGCTTTTTATTTTGTATTGTATAGTATCAATTTCAATAAGGTTGAAGTAAATTTTATTATTTAGTTAGTTCTATCTCTCAAAAATTTTTAATCACAAAAAAATGAAATAAAAAGAGAAAAACAGTTAAAAGACAATATTAGACACCATCTTCTGAGATTTTAGTTGCATATTATGGGGTAAGTAGAAAATTTGACTAAAAAATTTCAGAACTGCCGGGTACAATCCCCTCTATTTTCCCCTCTTTTCAAAGGGCTAAATTCCCCCTCCTCAACTCACGAATTTTCAGAGCTCAACTGAATACATCCCCTTTCTTCGTCATCTTCCCTACAGAGTGAGTTGCCACTAGTCGAACAGAAAAGGTCAGTACTTTGTAATTCTCTTTTTTTATTTCTAGTAGAGTTTGTACCCGAAATTGTTTGCAATTTGTTTGTAGTTAAATGTTGGTTCAATTCATTTTTGGTTACGGTCTAATTGTTAAGAGTGTGTGCTTTTCAAAAAAAGGGTCTCCAGTAAGAGATTGTATATTTGTATTAGAGTTCTTAGGGTACAAAAGTTTTGATCTTTCTCATTTCAAGATTCCAACTGAAGTGAGAACTTTCTTGCGGCCCCATTTGCTTCCTTTGGGTAAAGATTTAACAACTGGAATGACTGAAATGGTGGCTTCTATAGGGCATTCTTCTGTGAAATCTCTTGATTTTCTTTCTTAATTTATGAATTACAAGGCTAATGGGCCTTGTCCTGATGGTTGGAGTTTTGAACAAAAACTGTTTCTCAATGGTTGTGAGCTTTGCCAAGAAAAATTATTGATTATCAAAACAGTTGAACGGACGAAGTTGACAAATTATGTAATTCAATGAACATGTTTTTTTTATTTGTCTGCTTGTTACCTATTTGATACCTAAAGAAAAGCAAAAGAAAATTTTTATGACTGCCCTGTCTTTAGATGAGTTGTTTAAATTGTAGGTAGTCTTAAAATTTAGAATGTGTAATTGGCCTATTTCCTTTCTCTTCTGTTTTTACTGGAATGAACATGGATAATTGTTGTTTTCTCCTTGTATAGAATCCCTAGTATGTTTTGTTTACTGCTGAGCCCTGTACTATGTTCTTTCAAGTATATGCATTCCCCACTTTGGAGTTAACTTGAAATAGGTCTGATCAATATCTTTGCTTTTCATTAGTTTTATTGTACTTGCTACAACTGAAGTGAGTGACTGAAAGTATTTTGGCAGTTTGCCTTTTGGGGGAATGAGGTTATGCATTTTTAAGAGAGCAAAGGGGGGAAAAGAGAAGAAAAATACTCCTTGGCCCTCAAGCACCTTGTTTCTTCCTGGTAGCCCTCTTACTTCAAAAATTATTGTCTACCTTAAAGACCTGTATAATTGTTGTTACAATAAGAAGAACTGTAAATTATGTTGTCACCTATGTTGCTCAAACTCTCCAAAAATGTGGCCATACCCATGTCTGATTCTTTAATAATGCACTACTTTTGGAGTACCCAACATGAACCCGTCGACATTTTTGAAGAGTCAAAGCAACATAGGTTGTCACATTGTCTTTTGAACAGTCCGGAATTCAAAGGAACTGAAAGACTAATTATTGTCAGATTTAGTATCTGGGAAACTTTAGTGACTATCCTCTGCAAGAGGTATGACTAGAGTGTTTGCAAGTACATGTTAACTTTTTTGCTAAATCATTCTATTCACAATGTTCAGACTTGTTCCCTAAATTGTCTCTCTATGGTTTATGTTGCTAAGGAAATGTGACATTTGAATGTGGCCTTTCAAATAATGTTTAGTTATCACTTGTGAAGTGATCGATTTAGGATTTTAGACATCTATGACTACCACATTTTATGTTTTACAGAGGTATTTGATTGTTGAACTACCTTCTCCTCAGTGCAGTCCCTCACCTCAATCACTCAGGTGCGTTCTCTCTTCATCTTTGTCAATTTTGAAATAGTTTAGTTACGTTTGCTTAAGTGTTTTTCTTCTTCTCAATTTGTGGCTCATGTATTGACTTTTGAGACCATTAATTACATCTTTTATTGCTTCATTAATTCAATTCGGGGGGCTTTATTTAGTGCAGGGATGCATCCATCTGGGGGAATTAACTTTAGAATATCACTGCTCGCGTTTAGTTAATTTTCTCTCTTAATTCTATTTATTTTCCTTATCTCAATAGTCGTATAATTTGGGGTTTTTTGTTGCAATTTCAGTTATTGCTTGAACGACTAATGAAACCTCATGAACAATCTAGCTTGAAATTTTCTTTCTTTCAAAGAGTGTTGACATTTTAGAAAGACCATTCAGATGTTTCCTCGCATAACTTGGAGAATATATTGTGTAAATCTTGTTATATAAGCTTCAGAATATATTAATGTTTCACACAAATGGTACCTCAGCTATCAGATATTGTGCTTTAGGCTACATATTAGCCAAAGTTGTAGTAAAGAGCTCTTTTATTTAACGCAAAAATTTCAAATATAATTCAGTGCTTGTATGACGTTTAGATTGCTTAAATATACCCATAAGTTAATACAACATTGGAGAGAAAATGCACTTTATTTTGTTGATTACTCAGCTAGGGAATTTGCTAATGTCATCTCTCGCTTTTGTCATTAGGGAATTTCAAGAAACTACATGGTGTTTAATTAGTGCATCTCTTTTACGTTCTATGACCTGATACATTTTTTCTTATCTACATCATGCTTTTGTTTTCGACTTTTCGTAGCAAAAGAAAACTTCATATGCAAATATGTCTTGCATACTATCATTATAGCAGATATGCATGTTTAAAACGGTACTTGAGAACTTGATGTACTTAATAGTATTACATCCTATAGTAATATTTCTGTTCTATATATCGATAGGTTACTTAATCTGTATGAAATTATGGTCTCTTTTCTATCATAATTTGATTTTGCAATAGTTTTTAAAGTTCACTTATTTTTTATGAAAAGGTTTAAATATTTGCTCATTTTAAAAAGGTGATAATGCAATGGAGTGGAGGGCCAGAAGGAGTCCTCTTTGCTCCATTAAATGGCTCTCGGGATAAAATAATTCATTCGCAAGTACTCAACTTTCAGCAATGTGAAACTGTTGGAATCAGGCGATTTCTTATACATAGTGCATGTGGATGGTATTGTGATGCCAATTTTGTCATTTTAACTTTCATCCATCTTCTCATCTCTTTAGCCAAGCTTTTAGAATATGTTGGTAATTTCTTTATGGCTGCTATATATTTGTAGATCACATAGTCTTCTTTACAGGAGGTAAATCAACAATTTTTCATGTCTCATTCTTCTCAAGTGCACTCATATCCTCCATCATGGACCTCTTCCAGTGTGGGGCACACACGGCTTCCCTTCTAGCGTTTGGTGTGGATATCGAATCACAAGTGGATATTAAAGCCTTGAAGGAAGATGACAATTTTGGATGAAATATATAGTAGTTCAAAGGGAGTTAGGTACATGCTCTTTTACCCCTTCCTAACTGCAATAACAAGCAAAATTTTGGAATGTCAACACATACTAATTGTTGCTAGAAAATGGATCAAAGTAAAAAGTCATTCGTAACTATCTTGAGTCAGACTTGAATGTCAAACACATACTAATTGTTGCTAGAAAATGGATCAAAGTAAAAAGTCATTCGTAACTATCTTGAGTCAGACTTGAATGTCAAACACATACTAATTGTTGCTAGAAAATGGATCAAAGTAAAAAGTCATTCGTAACTATCTTGAGTCAGACTTGAATGTCAAACACATACTAATTGTTGCTAGAAAATGGATCAAAGTAAAAAGTCATTCGTAACTATCTTGAGTCAGACTTGAATGTCAAACACATACTAATTGTTGCTAGAAAATGGATCAAAGTAAAAAGTCATTCGTAACTATCTTGAGTCAGACTTGAATGTCAAACACATACTAATTGTTGCTAGAAAATGGATCAAAGTAAAAAGTCATTCGTAACTATCTTGAGTCAGACTTGATAAAGTAAACTCCAACCCTGTGGGTTCATCACATAGTTGAAGACTACATTTCAAATCATGTATCTCTTTTAGGTTGATTTATTCCTTGTGTGAATCTCCTCCATTTCTATATATCTCCATCCAGTTCACTCAACATCTTCATCTTCTTTGAAAATAATAATGAAGAAGTGGTGGAAAGTCCATTTACGCTCTCAAAAGATAACATAAAACTTCAGTTTCCTGCCTCAGTACATTCTGCAGTAAGGTACATAGTAGATTCAGTTCTTTCCTTAAAAATGGTGCATATCTGAAAGAAAGAAATAGCCATATTTATTGTACTCTCTAATTGTTGCTTCAATTTCTGTTGTTGAATTAAGCTAGTACATTTATTTGCTAAGCCTCCCTCACCTGTTATATATTTTACTCAAATGATCAATAAAGTGAAAGATGGATCTTTGTAATATTTTTGAGTCATGATAAGGAAAAAATAAAACTCGCTTATAGAAGAAAGAAAACACTAAATGTCATCAAAAAAAGAAAGAAAACACAAAAAGAAAGAAAACACTAAAAGAAAAAAAAGAGCTTCAACATATAGTCATACCTAAAGTTTAGCAAATTAAACTGACCATGATTAAAATTGTTAGAACCTCTTGTTTGAGGAATAGGTAAAGAAAGAAATTAAGTTCTGAGATTCAGAAAGATATGTAGGAGAATTTGGAGTAATTAGCTAAAGATAATTTTGGAAGGCCATCAATTAAAATAAGAAGAATAAACTTCAAATTAACATCTAGTTCATTTACTTCTGAATTGAAGTCTTTTTTTGTATAGTTTGTCATCTTAGACTCCGTAATTAATTGTGATTATTATATTCACGTCCCTTGTTTTGCGATCTAGCCTATAGTATTATGTACCGCACTTGTCTTGAGATTTGCTTATACTAATTTTAACATCAAATCACATTGCAATATTTTTGCTAGCTATTTGAATAAAATTATATTGATGCCAAACAGTAGAATTAAAATTAACTTCAACAAAGTTTACCTCTGGCTAGGAAGTACATACATGAACAACAATTAAGCAAGTCAAAGCATCTTTCTATCATAAAGAACAAGTGAAAGAAGTTCAAGTAACTATCTAAAGAAAACTTGGAAGGTCACCTATTGAAAGGAGAATCATATGGAATATGCAGATCTTTTTCAGCATAGCAGTGTTTTAAAAGGTACAAGTGCATAAACATTGTAACATTAGTATTTTTGTTGATGCCACCTGTGTAAATTGTACATCTTGATGCCTAAATAGCTAAGAATTGAGTTAGAATGAATAATGAACCAACATCAGAGCCGAGGGTCGATAGGAAACAGTTGTTGTACCTCCAAGATAGTGGTAAGATTTGTGCAGACTTTATCCTCCCCAGATTTCACTTTGTGGGATTACACAGGGTATGTTGTTGAAAAGAACTAACAACTCAACCTCTTTGATTACAACTTTTGCCCAAAATCACTACCAAAACATCTTGTAGTGGCGTTCTTTAAAGTTCTTACGGTAAACGATCTTTCTCATTATGGATAACTCTTTTGCATTTTTATGTTTTCCTTTTGGTTTTAGTTCACTCTATATTTTTTTTTTTGGCCTGCAGTTCTCCTTCGTAAGTTTACATCATTTTCATGTATGCAATTTGATATTTAAAGACTTTTATGTTAAGAAATTTGTCTCCTGCATACTAGTTGATTAGGTTGAGGGTGCACATTTAAAAAAAATATTGGATTATGTTTCTCGAAGAATTAATGAAATAATTGTTTGGGTTACTCTGTATTTTGTCCTTGAAACTGGTTGACAAATTCCCAATTCGCATGTTTATGTAATGGTTTGCATTTTAGCAATGTCATTTCAACTTGTAATTGTTTATTCCCTTTTATACCAGGCTTCTAGCTCTACTTTCTGTTTTTCTCATTCCTCTGTACAAATAAGCATGACATCAAGATTCTTTCAACTCTATTCAGAGGAGATAGAAAAGTTCATGCTTAAAGCTGTTATATTTTTTCAAATTGTTACAAGTAAAGTCGTCTAATTTTGTTTAAGTAAAGTTTTTCCTTCTGCATATTATTGTTATTGGTCTTGTGCTGACACGAACTCCAGCCATCTAGTATATATATATATTCCACCATATTTTTTTTTCATTTGAATAGTATTTTAAAGTAACTATTTTTTTTTTTGTAAAAGGATGCAGATTTAATTGGAATCAAGAAAGCTTGTCGTTCGCGGAAAAGCTAGAAAAAGGGTCTTGAGAATAGAAGTAGTCTATGAAAAGAAGATGATATTAGAGATCCCACTTGGTAAAGGGAAGTTTTCAAGGCAATTTCATCAACAAAGCTATCAAATGAGTTGGATATAATTGTTTGAAATGTTGTTTCTCTTCAAAAAAAAGTGGAAAGAACTCACAAGAGTGGAGAAAGTAGCACAATGATTGGATTACATTGTATTTATCAAGACAATCTCATTTTTGTGAGATTTTACTTCTTCATTGACTACATGATTTTTATTCCTAAATCGCCTTTTGATCTATAATATAATTTATTCTTTGATTACAATTTAAATGTGTATTTATCACAATTTTTATCGTTACTAATAATGATAACTTATAGTGACGATTTTATTTACAAAATTCTAAGCCATTTTTGTAAAAACAAAATTGTCACTGATTTATACATTTAAGGACGAAAAATATTTTTTGTATATAAAAGGTTATCTTTAGTGACGAAGTTATACTTGTTCAACTACGAAATACATATAACTTTAGAGACAATTGACATCGTCATTAATTAAGCTAAAGAGTTGGTAACAAAGTGATTTCGTCGGTATTAATAACCCTTTCAGTGACAAAAACACACTATTAACTACATTTTTTTGTACTTACTTTGACGAATGAGTTCGTCATAAATAAATTGTATTTGGGGATGAAGAATAAATTTGTAGTCAATACACCTTTATTTAGCGACGAAGCACTAAATCGTCTTTGTATACTTTTAGTGACACACGTTTAGGGACGACTGAATGACGAAATATTTTTCGTCACACATGATTTTTTGTGACGAAATATGATTTATAAGTGATAAAATTATTTGTCCCTAATAGTCGAATTTGTTGTAGCGAATTATACATATACAAATGTGGCTAATTATACAAACTCGAAGTCAGTCCGCGTAATTGATGTATAATGTTAGTCGTGAGTGGTAATTATAGCAAACTATAGCTATGATGAGTAATTAAGTAGTATAAGTTTGCTTAACCGCGTAATTTTCTCTTTATTTTTTTCTAACAATTATTTAAGTTGTATCCATTTTTGACAAACAACACACATATTATGTTTGAAGTTTTATATGATCGAAGTTTAGATTTTTCTACAAGTATTTTTACATGTAGTACATGCGATAATAGTGAATTGTTCGTATTTTTTTCAATCGTCTTCACGATATGTAGTGCACAATTTTCAAATTTGAAAATAATTTGATTTGTGGTGAGATAACACATATAAAATAATGTGCACGTATGAGTGAGAATTGTTTGAAAAATTAATCGCGAGGAGTGTCAAGGGAATTCATATGCAACGATTTCATGTTTTAAAAATAAAATAAAATTATAAACAACCCATTGAAAATAACAAGAATTTGATAATTTTTATGTTTCTTTAGTTAGGTAGTACTCCCGATCGTGATTTTTTTTGAGTAAGTAGGGTCAATCGATGGCCAGGAAAAGTTTGATATTGATATTAATGAAAATAAAAATCAAGTCAAGAATGCAAAGAAAAAAAGAATAAAAGAAATGGAATTGGAATTATATAATATAAAGAGCTTCAAAAGAGTAATTTAGATGGCAAAGATATTAATTCTTAAGCATATACTTTGTTTACTTTTATATGTCATGTTTTTGCTTTAGTAGAGTCAGTTTTACTAGTTATCGAAGATAAATTGAATTATATTATTTAATATTTTAAAATTTTAAATTTAGATGTTTAAAAACTATACAAAAAAATATTATAAGTTGCATTCCTTCTCATATCAATATGTTAAAATATCGATCAAAGTTCATGTAGTTCGATTACTCTCAAGAAACAAAACATAACAAGTACTCCCTCCATCATATATTAGATGAACACTTTCTATTTTACACGGTTATTAAGAAATCATTAATAGCTTGATTTACTTACTATTTTTCTCTTTGTTCATATTAATTAGCTTTTTGAAGAAAAAAAATTGAATCTTTAAAATTTGTTTAAACTTTCAAAGCCATATTAATTGTAGTGGTAAAGTGAAAAAAGATTAATTAATTATATCCTAATTATTTAATAAGTGATCAAGTAATATGAGACAAATCCTTTTAGTAATTAGATGCCCATCTAATATGGCACAGAGGTAGTAATAAGGAAGGGGAGAGAGTAATTAACTTCTTCTTTTTTTTGGTTAAAGAGAGAGTAAATTACTCACTAAATCAACACCAATAATTAGTGTCCTATTTTTTCATTAATTTAAACAACTTTGCCTGCCACATTCAAACACATGGATGCCACCTAGCTAAACCTATATATGTTATAATATAATTTATAGCCTCCCTTATTTCTTGGAAACCAAAGTGACAATTTCCTGTCAAAACCTACTTAGAAGTAGGTTATCAAACTATAGTGTTTCAACTTAAAAGATTAATTAGCAAGTAATTAGAAGAGGGAAGGGGGAGGGGACCATATTATCACTAATTGATGACAGCAATATTATATACACATATAACAAAGTCTAGAAAACCATCTTTAGCATCCTTGAAAAACATACTCATATAAGAAATATTACCTAACTTTGTACCAATATCAAGAATCTGCCTGCCATTACATTTCGTATAGATGCTACTTAAATTTTATATCTCTCATTAATATCATAAAGTTTTAACTTTTGTACGACTTTGATATGCATCACAAGTTTTAAACTTTTGCACGACTCCAATATAATACTCAAAAAACTAATTAACTTATATACACAAACAGTATAAAAGAATACATCATTAGCACACGTCAACATGTAAATAGTTTACACTGTCAGTATATAAAAATTAAAACGAATAGTTTAAACATAATAAAATCAGGGATATGTGCTTATAAAGAAACAAACCCTACACATAATGGAGCAAAGTACTTCTAGGTTTCTTCTTATAGAAAGAAAAGAAAAAAAATGGTTGATAATAATATCAACATATTAGGGTCTAAATATGATAAAGAAAGCTCTAATTACAATTCAATTAGTGAAGATGGATTGATTTATAAGGAGCAAGATAGGTTGTTGCCAATAGCAAATGTTGGGAGAATTATGAAGCAAATTCTTCCACCAAATGCTAAGATTTCAAAAGAAGCCAAAGAGACTATGCAAGAATGTGTTAGTGAGTTTATTAGCTTTGTGACTGGTGAAGCATCTGATAAGTGTCACAATGAGAAGAGAAAGACTTTGAATGGTGATGATATTTGTTGGGCTTTGGGAAGTTTAGGTTTTGATGATTATGTTGAGCCATTGAAGAGGTATTTGCACAAGCATAGAGAGCTAGAAGGTGAAAGAATTAATCAAAGTAAAGGTGTTGGTTTTGGAAATAATATTGAAGATAATCAAAGGGAAAGAGATGATGAATTAACACAAAGGGGATCTACAATTCCATTCAAAATCACCATTATGGATCGTAAGGGGGAAAACAATTTTCTCCCTACAAGACCTTATTAGGCTTCTTCTTCTTCTTTTCTCTGTTTAACCGTTCAGTATCTGGAATTTACTAGTCTGAGTAATTTGGATTTGCTCCATGTGAAGTTCATTAAAGGGAAGCGCTATTTATCAAGAGTTTCTGTTCCAGACGAATTGTCATGAAAAAAACTTGGGTCGAGTTTTTCTTCTATCTTTTAGGCTTCTTCTTCTTCTCTCTTTTATCTTTGGGTTTAACTATCTTGTGTGTGAAACACACTGACCCTATTAATCTGGATTCTCGCTGCATAGGGTTGGAGAAATGTTTCCTCTATTGGAAGGTTGTCTATTCTTAATAAGGCTCGAACATGAGACCTTTGGTACTTCTTTTTAAGTTATGACATATACACTATGAAATGTTAATCTACTTTTGTCTTTTGATGAGTAAATTAACTTGCATTTCTAGTTGGTCATGATTTTGTTGATGTTGAGTTCTGTGTGTTTTCTTTTTATTGTTCATTTTCTATATATAAAATTAGGATGAGACATACAGTGATCTAGCGATTAATAAAATGAATAAAAATTATGAGAAATTAGGATATAAATTTTAGCAAAGATATAGACGGGTTAGGTGATTTTTTTTCATCCGTCTAAAAATATTGATTGACATGAGAGTTACTTGTTGGTTGTGTTGGTAAGAAATTTAGCTTATATCGAATAAAATAATTAAAATGCACAGAAGCTGACACAGACACAATATAAAAGTTGACAAACTCACAAAATAAAGGTATCAACTAGCCAACTAGGCATGTAAAATGGCATCATCAAAGTTTTCATTTTTGAAACCCTAGAATCCAGGACCACAAATTTGAGTTATTCTAAATATGCTTAGTTTGTCACTATTAAAGTCTTTATCAAAGTTTCTTTTCAAATCTTATATTAAATTAAAAGAAGTGTTTTCACTCCCTCCAGTGAGGATTTTGCATTCTTGGATAGATTCATAGGTGGAAAGACCAACAAAATAAATAATATTATTGAAAGGGACAAAGAAAGAAAAATTACAATGTATCTGTGATTTCAATATTTTATCCAAATGAAACATGACTTTTGATGTCAATCTTAAAAAGGATTTAGAAATTAAATATATATACTGAAGATTTATAATGTGTTTTTGCATGAGCTGGCAAAATTATTTAAAAAACATATTTAGGGTTGCCTATCATTTGGTGAATATTAAAAGTCACTACCTCAAAAATAATCTTTAGCGGTAATTAATTAACGATAATAGCTTTGTAGATGTTCCTAAAGCCTTTAGCGACACTGAATCTAAAGACACTTAACTAATGTCGGTAAAGACTTTAACACTCTTTATTAATGTGTCTATTTATTACCGCTAAAAGATATTTTTGTTGTAGTGAGTGCTTGGTGAATTCGTGTTTTATGACCTCGAAATGCCAAAAAAACCATATTTGTCATGGTGAATATTAATCACCGTGTCCTTTTTTATAGACCAATCAAATATCAAGCCAATTGAAGTTCGTCAATCAAATTTAGAAAAATCAACACATAAAGAGTATGATTTTAAATTCGTGTTTCATGACCTGAAACACCATAAAAATAACAGTTGTTATGGTGAGTATTGGTTACCAGCCATTCACGATGGATCAACCAAATCTTGGGTCAAGTGGAGCCCGTCAATCAAATTCAAGAAAAAAATCATGTACTAGTACACATAAAAACACCAATAATTATGAAATTCTATTTTATGACCCCGAAACACTCAAAAATAACGTGGTGATCAATCGCTATTATTAATTATAAATTAATTTATTTGTTAGTAATGTTTTTGTTTTTGATATAGAAATTTTTAGAAATAGCAAACATAATAGAATAATAAAGCACTATAACTATAGTTTCGATAATTACTTTTCATAGCTATAGTTTCGTTTGCTATGGAGGCTGCAGTTTGTATATTTTTGTCCATATGTATATTTCGTTGCGAATATACAAATAGGATATGTATATAAAATACTGAATTTATACATTTAAGAATTTTTCAGAACTCAGTTAGTATATTTCTGAATTTATACAATCAGGAATAGACTTATACAAATTATGGATTTAAACAAATTAGGCGAATAACAAAAATTGGAAAAACTATAGCCGTGAATTACAATTTTCTTAAACTGTAGCTATAGTACCTATGATATGCTAAATGTTTGTTATTCTGCATACTCTTCCCTTTTTAATAAGTCTTACGCGATGTGAATTTTGATTAGTTGGGCTATTTGACATACTATACATTGATCTTCCTATTATCCGGCCCATTGTCATGTCCAGCAGTAAGCCCATAGCACATAACACAAAATGTAATATTTTCTTCATTTTAATTTAGTTTATTGTCTGATTTTGATTTAATATAGGGTTTAAGAATAAAATAAATAAGAATTTAAATTTTATAATCAAACTAAATACATGTAGAACATTACAAATACTTTTAATCTTATTATTTTAATATGCCATATGAAAAATTAGAGTTAACCAATTACAATTAAGAAAAAACAACTACAAAAAAAATAAAAAATCTTAGCAAATAATAAAAGATTAAATGACCTATCCAAGCAAGAGTTGTGCTCAATAGATAAATTCGAAAAATGAGAATTTCTTATAAGAAAGTAACAATAACAAGAATGAATTAAGTAACGCAGTCATTTCAATTTTCTAAAATAAATTTATGACGTAGAGTACGTAAATTTAGAATGGTCTTATACTATAAAATATGTATTCCAAATATTAATGTATAAATTTTTCCAATAAAAAGTACTCCATAATTATACTTGAGCTCAGTTAAACGCAAAATAATAACAATATAGTATAGCCGCATAAAATGTAGTAAAATGTACCTTATTTTTGTTTAAAAGATTAAAAATTATTTTCGATTGACCTTCGACTCAACAAAAAACAGTTCATAAAAAGTAATAGAAGTAAAAGCATGATAAAACATACTGAGCAATAATTATAATAAAATAATACGATGATCGAAATATAAAATACGATAAAAGACAATAAAAATCAAACATAAAAACCACATAAACAATACAATAACTATAAATAAATATAAACAAATAGTGAAACAATACACAACTATTTATTAACAGGCGAACCTATGGAGTTTAGGATTCATTTGATTTCACTCAAAAATTACAATATAAGATTAATATTATTTTTATATATACACATAATAAATATTACTAAATTCAATTATTTATTTATTTTAGAAAATAAGCAGTGCTTTTTTCGTGCCTACAAGAGAAGTGAGATGGGTGGCAGAAAAGAGCAGTTCGAGATGGGGAATTTTTGCATCTTTATCCTATTGTTTGTCGAATCGAAATTTTAAATTAAAATTATTAAAAATTTAATATATTTAATAAAAATTACATTTGTGTATATATTTATTAAATTTCTGGATAAAAATATAAAATTTATTAAAATTTATACATTATGATCTGAATCCGCCATTAAATATTATCGGCACACGAAAGCAGACAAATGTTGAATGAGTCCAAAAATGCTTGAAATGATGACAAGAGATAAGTACAAACATTATTAAATCAACTCAAAATACACAAACACCTTTTTCTAAATAGCAAAATTAAAATTCACTAAAAAATAATATAAAAATAGAATTTATACCATTGATATATAATAATGTTTTAAGAAATAGATTGTTTGGATATAAATTTGGAGTTTTAGCTAGCTATTAAAGGGCATACTCTTTAGCAAAAAAATCATACTCTTTGTTCTTTTGTTTTTAAGAAGTTCATGGAAGGCAATAGTGGTTGCTGTTTTTGGTAAATTTCTTATTAATCTCCCGTTTTAGAATAGTTGTCATGTTTCATTTATCTCGAGTTTACTTATTAATATATGCTAGATTTTTTTTTGATTAGTTTTCGATCATGTTATTTCATTTAAGTTTTTATATTGAGCATGAAATAAACTCATTTCATTTATCTCGAGTTAATTTGATTGATATTATATGCTAAATTTCTTTATATCTTTATGAGTCTACCTTTTTATATTCTTTCCATTAGTTTTCTATCATGTCATTTCATTTAAGTTTACATAATCTACATCCTATCAATTTTTTTTAATTTCTTTTTTGACATAACTTGCTTTTAATATGCAGTAGTCTATAAATCAAGAAGAGGGGGGATCATGACAACTAATTAATTAGCAAACAAAGGTTCATATATGGCTGATCAGAGTTCAAATTATCCATCTCACAATTCCACACAAAATCACACAAATAAACCAATTTCATCCTTCTTAGGTTCTCCAAGAATTTTTAATGGCCTTTTGACTAGAAGTCTATCTGACATTGGAACTATCCAAACAAGTCGAGATCGACGGTATGACAATGAAATTGTCACTAGCCCAAATTCCCTTCTTGATGGCATGCAAAATCTCAATATTGGGAATCCTTTTGGTTATGATAGAAAATCACCAAACCCCATCAATAAAAAGCTCCCAATCATTAAGACAACTCCAAACAACATGCCTCGGTTTCAAACAAGTCAGGATCGACTGTATGATGCTGAATGCATTGTTAGCTCAAATTCGACACTTGATGGCATGCAAAATGACAATCTTGGAAACCCTTTTGGTTATGATAGAAAACCACCAAACCCCTTCACTAAAAAGCCTCCAAATAACAAGCTGGAATCAGAAATTACTTCTACGTCTCAGTTTCAAACAAGTCAGAATGGGAACCTTTTTGGTTATGATAGAAAACCACCAAACCCCATCACTAAAAAGCATTCAAATAACAAGATGGAATCAGAGAGCATTGGACTTGCTCTTATTGATCCAAAAGTAACTAGTGAAAAATTCCATGTCCTATTTGGAGCAAAGTTAAAAGTTGAAATCCCTTGTTCAATTGAGGTGAAAAATAGTACTTGTGGGGATTTAGATGAAATGGAGAGTTCAGAGGACTATACTTGTGTGATTACTCATGGTCCTAATCCAAAAACAACTCATATATTTGATAATTGCATTATTGAGAGCTCTTGTGGAGTTAGAAAGTTGAGGGAGAATTCTTGCAAAGTTGATCATACAAAGGGCAAAGGCATCTAATATGTAAGTACATGTATGAGAAATAAATTCTTCTTTTTCTGGTTTGTGTGTTTATAATATTTTCTGGATCGTTTTTTCTTGAATCGAGGATGTATTGAAAATAACCTCTTTAAAGTAGAGGTAGAGGTAGAATATGAATTTTTAGTCATTTTTTACCGAACTAGCTCACTTGAAAATGCATGGTGGAACATAGATTCTCAGTGAAATAGTTGAAAGTTTCCTAAATTTTTTTCTATGAAAACATTACTATTATTTCTTTCTAACCAATTCAATTAAAATATCTGTGAAAATAATTATTGAATTTAGTTGTTGTGTTTGTAGCTTATACCTCTGAATCAAAGGTTTAGAGTTTAGTGGTATTGATAATTTTTTTTTTCCTGAGTTCAATTTTCATTGTCGTATTTCGTTTGCATGTACTTTGATTATTTTAATATGTATGTGTTAGCTTCCACCAATATATATATTCAGATTTGAATCGTATTACTCTCTCATAATGCTCACTCATTTTATTAATCGATAAGCCACACCTTTAAATGTTCAATGTCTATATGAGAGGTCTTTGCATATTTTGCACTTGTAATTCTGTTTATATCAAGACTTACATAAGTAAAAAGCATTTACATAAATTCATGTTTCTATTGTGTTTTTGAGTCTACTTATTCGTATCTCAATTATACTTAACATTTGTATGTCATTTTTCTCTAGCTCATATAATAAGATTTGAACTTTGATCTTTCATATAATGTTCATTCATTTTGTTAGCGGCTACGCTCAATACTTTTTGAATATGGATTTTAAAATGTTAAACGACCATAATATGTTGCAATGTATATTTCATGATTTTAGACGAATGAGAAGGAATTACGTACTATATTTTTTTCTTAAAATATATGATTTTCACCCATTTTATTCCTACAGGATTATGAGGGCCTTTTGAAGCCATAAATCAAGGGGGGATGATGAATCAAGAAATGGAGGACTAGTGATTTTTCTTTTTTTCATCCTAATCTGTTTTTTTGGTCACTTTAACAAAGAATTTTGGCATCTTTTAGAAGTGGATATGAATGAAATCAAATTTTCCAATTTTTGACAAATTAGTCATGACTAGACCCCTATGGTGGACCAAAATGAAGGTTGTTCTTCCATCAAATATAACGTGACTTTGTTGGAGTGTGTTTCTTGACTTATTAATCCTTCTTGTATTATGTGGCAGGCATAATATATAAATATATTCTCAATTTGATCTCACAATAAACATTTTAATGCGTCTTCAGTATATTTCTTAGACATTTGATGTTAACGTGACATATAAATTGTGAATAAATCTAGATTATTATTTTAATAGTTGAAGTGTTAAACTGATATAATAAAAGACAAGTCAAGTTGTCTAGATATACATGTAAAATGTTTACTTGTCGGTTGGTTACCAAATTTGAATGTCGATTTATGTATTATGCCAAAAATTATTTATGACCAAATGGCCCCTAAACAAGAAGAATTAGTGTAATGAACCCATTCCTTCTCTCTTCTTGTAGCTCCTCTTTCTCTTTGCATCCATACAATTTCTATGCACTTTACACACACACAACATCAATGTTCTCTATGGTATGATTTTTTATGATCAAATTTGTGTATTTTTTTCTTCTTGAAATTGCTAAAAAGAGTTTGTTAAGCTTAAATTGTACTATACTTTGCTATTTATATACCCTTTTCTCAGATCTTGAATATAACTAGTTCTGTTTAATCCAAATTGTATCTTTTTTATTCAAATTGCTGTAAAGGGTTCTTGATTTGGGTTATCTTAGCTTAAACATTATATTTCTCTGCAATTTTGATATAAAGTTACTAAGTTCTGTTTAGTCACAGTCATATCTTGTTATTAAGGGTTCTTGATCTGGGATTTCTCTGCAATTTTAATTCAAAGTTACTATTTCTGTTTAATCAAAATTGTATCTTTTCCTTTAAATTTGCCATAAAGGGTGTCTGTGCATAGTAAGCATAACATCATGTTACGATTCGATGTCGTTTTTCTCCGAAAACCACAATGTTTTGCAGGTAGAAGAAGCCCTGATTAGCAATGATATAGACATAGGGACAGTATCTTCAAATTGATTACCACTGTAGAGAATTCCCACTGAAATTATTGCTTCCCAAATCTAGCACTAATAGCTAAGCAATGTGGAACCGAGTCATTGTTGTGTGATAATTCCAGCAATTTAATGCCACTCACTCCCATAACCCTGTTTGGTACTCAAATTTCTGGAATTATCACACAACAATGACTCGGTTCCACATTTGCTTCAGCAACATGGCTAAGCTGGTGCTGGGTTTGAGAAGTAATAATTTTGGTGTGAGTCTCTTTTCGCTAGCTGTTATATACTTGGAGCACTTCATATTTGAGATTCATCGCCTTGGATGGTAGTCAATTTAAAGGAACTGTCCTATGCCCTCTCCTCTATGATGCCGATAGTTTGATACAAGAAACCTTTTGACTCCTTGTATTTCATTGTTCAGACCAATGATATAGGTAATAACATTAGAAACCATATAGAGGAGATCTATCCAAGTGTAATCAATATTGTCATTCGGGTATAACGTTTGGGGTTCGTGTGTGATTGTGTTATAGTAGCAATGCCAGCTTTTGGCGTCAACTCTGTCGAAGTTGGCTAGTGGCTCTTATAGTGAAGAAGATGAGGAGGATGTGATGTTAGTGGAGTTGGTAACCTTATTCTTGTACAATTATCCTTTTTCATATACAGTACTCAGTTTTAGATGCCCTCCCTACATATATGTTATCTATCTTCCATATACCCCAGTCAGTAGTTCAAAGGTTGGATAAAATCAGAAGAAACTTCTTATGGCAAGGCAATAAGGAAAGGAAAGGTTTTCATTTGGTCAAATGGAAGAACATTATCAGAAGCAAAGAACAAGGTGGACTAGGCATCAAGAACCTTAAATACCAAAGCAAAGCACTCAAGGTCAAGTGGCTATGGAGGTACCATCAGGAGGACCAAGCACTCTGGTACAGGGTAATCAAGAGCAAGTATGAGCAACTGAACACATGGGTAACTAAAGAGGTCAACACCCCTTATGGTATTAGCCTCTGGAAATCCATTAGAATATTCTGGCAGTTTCTTAGTAATCAATTAACTGTCAAAGTTCGAAATGGCAGAAAAACAAGTTTTTGGATTGATAAATGGATGGGTACTGTGAGCCTTAAAGATCTCTTTCCTGACATCTTTGTTTTGGCTCAACACCAAGAGAAAACTGTTGCTGAAATGTGGTCACCACAAGGATGGAATATGATCTTTAGAAGAAACTTGAATGACTGGGAAATTCCCAGAATGATTGAACTCTTCACACTTCTGGAGAGTTTCCAAGGAATCCAAACAGGTGAAGACTATTTATGGTGGCATGGGCACAACAAAGGAAGATACAGGGTGAAGGAAGGATATAAACAAACAAGTCTTAGGGAGAATCAAGACTTCAAATGGCCTTGGAAGCAAATCTGGAGAGTCAAAGTGCCACAAAAAGTGGCATGCTTCACCTGGCTGCTAGCCAATGAAGCAGTTCTGACATTGGACAATGTGGCCAAGAGAGGTATATCTCTATGCAACAGATGCTCCTTATGTGGTAAGGATACAACAGTAAAACACCTCTTTCTACACTGCAATTTCACTGACCAACTGTGGCAGATTTTCCTTAATCTCAGAGGCATTTCCTGGAGTATGCCTAGCAAGATTGATGAGACTCTTTTCAGTTGGGAGGAGGCTGGAGTTGGGGCTACAAACAGAGAAAGATGGAGGATGATCCCTGCTTGTATATGGTGGACTATATGGAGAGAGAGAAATGATAGATGCCCTTATGGTATTAGCCTCTGGAAATCCATTAGAATATTCTGGCAGTTTCTCAGTAATCAATTAACTGTCAAAGTTCGAAATGGCAGAAAAACAAGTTTTTGGATTGATAAATGGATGGGTACTGTGAGCCTTAAAGATCTCTTTCCTGACATCTTTGTTTTGGCTCAACACCAAGAGAAAACTGTTGCTGAAATGTGGTCACCACAAGGATGGAATATGATCTTTAGAAGAAACTTGAATGATTGGGAAATTCCTAGAATGATTGAACTTTTCAAGCTACTGGAGAGTTTCCAAGGAATCCAAACAGGTGAAGACTATTTATGGTGGCATGGGCACAACAAAGGAAGATACAGGGTGAAGGAAGGATATAAACAAACAAGTCTTAGGGAGAATCAAGACTTCAAATGGCCTTGGAAGCAAATCTGGAGAGTCAAAGTGCCACAAAAAGTGGCATGCTTCACCTGGCTGCTAGCCAATGAAGCAGTTCTGACATTGGACAATGTGGCCAAGAGAGGTATATCTCTATGCAACAGATGCTCCTTATGTGGTAAGGATACAACAGTAAAACACCTCTTTCTACACTGCAATTTCACTGACCAACTGTGGCAGATTTTCCTTAATCTCAGAGGCATTTCCTGGAGTATGCCTAGCAAGATTGATGAGTCTCTTTTCAGTTGGGAGGAGGCTGGAGTTGGGGCTACAAACAGAGAAAGATGGAGGATGATCCCTGCTTGTATATGGTGGACTATATGGAGAGAGAGAAATGATAGATGTTTTGAATATAGGGACAACAACCTGCAGGAAGTCAAGCTTAAATGTATTTTGCTGTTCTGTTTTTGGTGTATAAATGTCTACTCCAATGAGACTGAGTCAATCATAGATGTTTTAGGGTCCATCTAGATCCTGGTTTAGCATTGGAAAGACTAATCTTTTTCTTCTTTTTTGTAAATATGGTTTTTTAGTACTACCTAAGTACTGACTGAAATACAAATGTTACTAGTGTCAAAAAAAATATACTTTTACTTGTTTTAGTAGGTAACCAGCTTCAATGTTAGTATCTTTTATGAGACTTGATAGGGTTAGAGTCCTTCTACGTTGTCGGTTTATAGAAGCTTAATCTCTTCTCAATAACAATGATATCTGATGTGTTTGCGCATCTGTACTTGTAATTCTCCTACGGGTACATTGTTGTAACGTCTCCAATAGCATGCTCTTACTTTGTCTTTCCCTTAATACGTCATCAAATTTGGTTCTTTTTGATCCCCAGTTGCTATCTATAGATATGCATATTTGATTATCTGAGGTCTAACTCCTACACCATAGCTTCAGTAATTTTTCATGATCACAGATCACATGCCTCAGGCTGCTTGTTTGTTACAACAACAACATACCCAATGTAATCTCATAAGTAGGGTCTGAGGAGAGTGTTGTGTATGCAGTAACGCAGACCTTACCCCTACCTTGTGAGGTAGAGAGGTTGTTTCCGATAGACCCTCAGCTCAGCTAGAGCATATCAAATCAAGTACGAATAGGAAATACAATAGTGAGGAAGTCACGTTGAAAATATTGGTGGAAAGAACAGTAGCGATAGCAAGTAATACAATAATTGAAGCAAAGGAAACAACATGTAATGTTATACTAGACATATAGTTCATCTAATGTTGGTCTCAGAATTTCTTTTACACTTTGTAATGTTATACCATACAGCTCGGATTATCTACTATTACCTGCATTATCCCTCTATTACAGCTCAAAAAGACCTGAGTAACTAGAAATAAATCACCTTATATTTTGTATCTTCTGCTAGGCCTCCTTTCCTTTTTTGGATTATTTTCCTTGAGCGAGGGTCTATCGGAAACAATTTCTCGACCTATGAGTTAGGGGTAAGGTTTGCGTACACTCTACCCTCCCCAGACCCTACTTTGTGGGACTATACTGGGTATGTTGTTGTTGTTCTTTTGTTTTCTTCTACTTATTTGTGGCTCATCCTTGCAATGGGATGTAATTTGATCAACATGAGTTTGAATGATCGAGGTCTATCTCCTTGCTTTCAATAATTGTGTTGGGGTTGACTATATGAATCATCTGATCGATTCCGCTCTTAGACTATTTTTACATTGATTGTCGACTTATTGTAGATCTCTTCTTTGTAGTTGATTTTCCCTGTTCATTTATTACCTTACTTGTGTCTATGTGATGATTGCCGACTCCAATGTTGCTTGGACTCTTCGTAATTGTCCCTAGTGCTTGTCGGATCCTCCAAAAGAAGATCCGATATGGGAAATGCAACATTTCTCGAAAGTCCTAGTA